TCTTACTCATTATGCTACCGTTTGTCTGGCCAATTCGGTCAAGTAATCTTCAGCATGTCTTTGCATAAGTGTGCTGCCTATTTGAAATTTATACGGCACGTTGAAAAGTTATGGGCCTGCAAATGAAAGTATGGCTGGCTGGGGTAATGCCGAAAACGTGCAATTACGCACGTTAAAGCACGCTACGTGGACTTTACTGCTGTAGAATAGCAACGCGAATTTTTAGTCACACAAATTACACTTTCAACCGACACAACGGCCTGTTACCTATAAGGAATTATTTACCTGGCATTTTCTTATTATATCACACAATTATAACTTCCAGTGTGCACCAAGCGTCCTCAAGCTCTTAAAACGCGTGTCAGCTTTGATAAATTCTGGATAAAGTTTGAGATAAAGTGGCAAAACATCAATGTCGGCATTCCCGTAGATCATTTCTCCCATTTTCGGCTTTCCCCGCAGTCCGGGGCAACGCCGAAAAAGTCACTTCTTTGATATTTTTAGTTTGCGCGCTTAACGGTATGCGAATTCATCAAATGCGCCTGGTATGTTTGTAAGGCAAAAGACTGGCCTCTCGAATGACGCCAACAAGAATAGCTTATGTTGTCTACCTTGCGTGCTACGGGCGTCAGAAAAAAAAGTATTCGGCGTTCCCCCAACTTCCCCTACTCTCCTCTGTCGCTGTTCTCGGGTGTAACTCCACAGCACTTCCCGGATCTTTCGCCCAAATTGTGTTCCAGATGTGTTGAACCGGGTTAAATGGGACCGGGTTAAATGGGATAATGCGGATATTGCTGCCGGACATATCGATCCAGACATCATCACTGCACCGCACCCCGAAAATGGCCTCAGAGACTCTTTAGCAGGCCTCTTGAGCTCCACATGTGAGATGTCGTGGAAGCTATTGCGTTTGCTTATTGCGAATACCTGAGTTGTATGAGTATAAAAGCATGTTTTTCGCTTATATGTGACGCCTAAAAAACATTATTATTATCACATTATTTTTTCCATAGTTGACTATTAGAACGGTGAATTTTATATTTATGTACTGGTTTTATATATCCTACAATGGAGTATCAAGTATGCGAATGTGAAGCACGAATGTGTATTGTGTATATGCAGTATGCACTACATTTTGAGAAATTGTGATTAAGTAACTAATCAATTTTGCCGGCATCGTGTGCCCCTCGCTCAGACACGTCGAATTTGGCGTATGATAGGTATGTTGACCCCGTCTTTATTTCTATGGTTGACCCTAAAAGGTCAGCTTGGAAATTCGATCCAAGTTTAAACTCATGTAGGTACTGACGAGAAGAGGTCACTGTTCGCATGAAATTCAAAAATTGTTCGTTTATTTAGCACAAGCAATTCAACCTCTTCAATTCAAGACGATAACAGCGCGGGTCTGCGGTCTGAAATGCGGCCGCTCTACACGGAGCCGACGCGGCGGCGATCGTCGGCGCAGACGCGCGCGCCGAGGCCACGTTGTCGGGAAGACGGTCGGCTGACGTCGGCGCAATGAGGGCCGGGGGATGATTGGGGGGGGGGCGGAAACGGGGTACGGGCAGATGGACGCTGGTCCATACATCGTGAGGCTGACAGCTAGCGCGCAGCCGCAATGGATTGGTGGATGCGTTGAAGTAAGTGCGACTGCGTTTACAGGTAATTACTGAAAAATGAAAATGCGGCCAGCAGGGAACACGGAAATGGGACACAATAGATACATGGTGCTTTTATTTTAACTTTTATTGTCTTCAGTTTACATATACAGCTCAACAAAGAACGCTTAACATTATATTTTGGGTCCCGCATATACATTATGCACAGCCGAAACGAGTTAAGAGGCAATACATGCATCCGTATTACGATTCGGCGCCGCAGCTTGCGGATGGAAAGGGTAACCGGTAACGGGTAAACGGACGAACATCCCCTAGTTGATTACCAACACCGCTAACACGCCCCGCGGCGGTGGTATTGGATTCCGATGCGCTCGTTGATGACCGGCACACGGGCACACCCAATCAACTCGCCCAGGACTGGCTGAGAACATTGGACATTTTCGTACAACCCACATTCCCAAGAGACGGACGGGACGTCCATGGCTCACGCTCAGTCAGGGCCTGCAGGTGCGCTGGGCTGGATTTTCGCCGTGTTACGCGTTCTGGGAGATTGTTTACATCATCGCTATGGCAGGCTTCCGTCAGCGCACCGTGGGACTATTGTCGAGATAAATATCTGGGACGCTGACAACTCGCACCATCGCGGTGTGTGTTGTGCGTGATAACTGATAACGCCATACGGCTTGCTGCTGAAGCTTTACGCATAGTGCGTAAACTCTACGGTGAGCGACGACAAATCCACACATGAACATCGGCGTATTCGAGGATGCAGGACGCAGCTTCCGTAATTGAACGAAATGGGATTTAATTAACACTCAATGTAGCCATTTTTCGAAACGAAAAGGAGTAGGACGTCACATGTAGCTCATCTTATGCATATTGTATGAGGCAATACTGAACACGTTAAGAGCCAATTCCACATTTTTCTTCTAAAACAAGCATAAAATTCATACCTATGAATAATGTTCCTCTTCATAGATATGCAGTCGTCTGCGCCTGCTCCGCGTCATAGAATCACCCGTGCGACAAAACTACGATCCTCACCTACACAACACGTATGCAGAGACATAGGTTACTGCCAGTAACGGCCGTCACGCAGCGTTCTCCTCACAGCCGTCCCGGGACAGCGTCTAAATCGTGATATCATGGGCCTGCCAGCCGACTTGAGGACAATCAGGGGCCACGGAGCACCGTCGTCCCGCACGGCAGCTGGGTGACCCCTGCCCCGAGACGTCACGTGTTACGTCTTATACTGAGTGACTTTTAGTTACCTGAAACGGTGTTAGAACTGAGGCCTCTTGCACCAAACTACCTAGCTAGGTAAAATCGTAAAACCGGTTTCAGAATAAGCTAATCTAACGGTGGTAAATTTGTTTGCAATAGCCCAATACATAATCCTACATGTGCTTGCAAAATTTTGCATGCAAATTGTTACATTTGAGACTTGGACTGGGTATACGATGCAAAATAATCCAAGCATTGGTGCAAGAGGATTTTGGTGCAAGAGGCCTCAGATCCTAGGGCGCAGGGAGTCGGGGAGGGGCAGGACGCTGACTTGGCCAGGAGCACCAGGAGCAGGAGTGTCGGGTGTCGGGTGGGGTCAGAAGCGGTCAACCCTCCGCCACTCGTCCCCCCCCCCCCCCCAGTGAGGAGGGACACTGCGCCGTTGCGCAGTATGTAAAGGATGTAAAAAAATGTAAAAGTGTTCGGTACTTACCTATGTGACGTGATGTTTCTACCACGTAGATGTTTCTTGTCTCGTCTATCGTTACCATAAAGTGGTATAATGGACACTAATGCACGCTCATGATCTCTCGTTCAATTCATCAGCCTCGTCGATATTTTTTTAACGACAGCTAGAAAAACAAAATATTTGCTTTTACGGAGCACCCCATCTGCTGTAAAGCAAGCATCTGCTGTACTGCAAAGCAATAGACGATTCTGATTCAGTTTATGGGGAGAGGCTCACGACTTGGGCCAGGCTGAGGCTACCCGACGAGGCGCACCCATGACCGATGTCCGATCAATACCGGCTCTACACCCCCGTGTTAGTCCTTCAGCGTCGTCCCATGGCCTCACCGCAATGCCGCTGTTTCTATTAGCGGCACACCGGCTGCGATACAGTAGCGTTCCACAGCAACGTCCAACGCTGTGTGCCCAGACCGGGCCTCATTGTCGTGTGGCGCGACACATGCAGTAGATATTGACCTGTGTGCCCACACATCCACACTTTGGACACTGAATGGCAACACACCGGTGATGGATGCGTTCGAATACCATGGGCGCAAATTGATCTTTGTGGTCAACGCGCCCTAAAGCCCCAATAAACATCAGCATTCAAATAGCTTTCATCATAAGGTCAGGCTTCACCGTAACACATTTCCTTTGAGGAGCATACGTATAGAATAAAGGCGTGAGAGGAGTAACATTCAGTTGTAAATAACGTTTAAGAGCCCTGTGCCGTAAAGTCGCGCACAAATGCATTCAAGAACATGTACGGCCATAATTAATGTAGGAGCGTATCCGCGGCTATACATAGGTACGCTTTATCTGTAACTGCGTGCGCCGATCGATTCTGGAAAGTGGAAACGATCCGAATCTTGATCATGCATTTAAGTGCAATCTACCACAATGTCGACAGTTTCTAACATAGCTAGGCTTGGCATCTAGTCACTCATCCATACGGTCGTCGCTCATCCAACTACCACGCCGTCTAGCTCGTTGGAGTTTGGACGGAACTCTGCGAACGCGTCGACGGCGGCCGAATAAACATCACTAGCACCGCGCTCCAGCAGCCTAAACACTCCCCTGAGCAGTGAGCTGAGGTGGCCGGCCCGACCACCGGCACTCTGTGCCACTGGGGGATACGCGACGAATGAGTCATGAGAAGTGGTCAAAATACTGAGGACTGGAGTGCAAAACACGCAGCTTAAATGGCCGAGTGCAGTGAGACACGTATAGTCACTCGTCACTCGTCAGTACGTAATGCGCCAGAAAAATACCATTGGCACTTGGCAGGTGGAACCAAGCACTTTTATTATATTAAGATTATAGGCAGATCTAGGTATAATTCGTTGATGATATGAAGTAGATGGTTGATTCATCTTAACTGTTCTAAAACCAGTCCGTAATTGTCAGGGCACTTGTCCATTTTCCAGGCACACGATTACGTGCTATGCGGGTTGCCTACCTTACAAACGTACCACAAAAGGAACGTCAGACCGGTAAATCATTCCAATTCTTCAGCTCTCACGACGAAAAAAGCAGCTCAAAACTCGTTTTCTTGGACGTCTTCGGGCCTTAGGTATCCATAACACGTTCACCTGTTGGCTTGGTCCGTGCCATCCCAATACTCTCACTACCATTTCAAAAAAGGGTGCATACAATGGTCAACTGTATTTGTATCTCAATACACGTTAACAGCGGCCCGTTATTTGCTGTTTATCGCTCGGCCGTGACTCACGTTTCACGGCCTTCATCACGAGCAGGAACACGCACAAAACAATCTCATTCACTGGATCGGGACTGATAAATTAACGCACGTGTGTGTGCGTGCGGGGCACCGGAGCGTGAGTCGACCGACACTGACCACTGGCGGTGCCTCGAGCGACCTGACGCGACCACAAACCCTCTGCAGCGGATCAGACACACCCCAACCCACCGCCAACCGACACCATACGGGCACCAGTCTCAACACGGACCCAACGCGAAAGCACGGAACATGAGTCACAGTCATCCCCTCTGGGTGATGCAGGCGCCGTCTGGACATGCACTACCTTCAGGTGCAGCTCAAAAACACATCTGGAACATTCCCGAGTGACGGTGGAGCCGTTTGGCCGGCGCTCGGGCACGGGTGAGCACTGCGCGCTGGTGCGACTAGGAAAGGCGGATCTGCGGCCGGACGCGGGTGTCGCGCCGGCCCTAGTTCGGCCGGCACGTTCGGTGGGCCTCGGCTACCGCTGCAAAGAGCGGCGCAGAGAGCGCCACGACTCGTACTTGGCGTAGGCCGCCGAGAGCATCTGGTTCAGATGGGCTGTGACCTCGGGGCCCAGGCCGGCCTGGCGGCACACCGTGTCCTGGGGAGGGGAGGGGAGGGGGTCAGACGCGGGCGGAGCGGGGGAGTGTCCGAAACGCAGGCCCTCCGAGGTCAGAGCGGAAAAGGCGCCGTGCGGTCATAATCTCGTAATGTGATGTAGTTAGTTTCAGCTGGGCACCAAGAACACACGCCTGACAACGGATCCTGACCTCGAAAGAAACACACATGAGAACGTAAACATTTAGGAACGGCGTGTTCAGGATTCATTCCACAACCATCAAGATTTAGACGAGAAAAACGTTCGTAAACGAAACTTTGCAGCTAATTAGCGCCGACTGAAAAGGAATGTGGCTGTGACTGTTAAGCTGAAACTGACTGCATTCGTCCGAATAAATCAACCGATTCGTTTACTGGTGAAAAATATATGTATTTAAATGGCAGAAACGATCAAACCCAAAACATATCACATTGGCATGCTGCTTACGTCAATCAGAAATATCCAATAGCCCGCATCATTAACACCTTCACATTTAAGTTATTAGTAAAGCATACTGTTGCCCCATTATCTGTGCAATTAATATCGTATTACACGAGAGTTGGGAGCACTGCATGATGTTGATGAACCGAGTTGCTTGGGTGGCCCACTCAGAGCCCTGTCCTTGGACCCCGAGGCCCGACTGGCTGGCAGCTGTCGGCGTGTTCTGCCGTCAGCCGGAATGACAAACTTCCGGGGTGAGTGGCCTGATTCATTGAGTGTTGATTCAACGCTGTTGCCGAGAGAGGCTGATGTGTGTGGATTTTCTGCTTATTGCATACTCTGAATGTTTTGTCTGGTCACGTTGTAAGGATGATGGGTAACGCGATCGAAATTTCGAGCTTTCAAAAAGCGATAGCAATTTGAATCATCATAACGAATGGCTTCAGGTATTGTATTATTTAAGTCGCACACAGGATTACTAGAACCACATTGATTCGCAGCACAGTTGATTTACTCGATTACTTTACTTATATTTACTTACTAAAATGCGCGAAGAAAAAGAAACTTCCTTTAACATTAACCTCGGGTCTCAGGATAACGATTTCACATAAATATCCTTTCGACATACATATATTTTTGCTGGCCGGTATAAAAACACACACACGCACACAACAGGTTAAAAAGTAACTATAATTCATTTATTCCAGCTACACCAGCCTCCACAAAATTACAGCACCGACCCGGGTCAGAATACGTACTCCTTGGTATCATCAGCACTAAGCCCTGCATGTTTCTTATCTGTCTTACGTAATACTGAGTCCGTGTTTATATTGCACCAGACGACGTATGTTTACGCTACATAACACATTTGATAAAAACGGTGAAATAAACAGGATGTGCCAGTCCGTGAAAGACGACCAGTTGTAAATGTTTATTACGGCAGCTCACCAGTCTCTACCTCGATCCAGCTAGTCTGCCAGTGGCTCACATATTACCACTTATTGCAAAAGTTATCAGTGATCGCTGCTCACCTAGATATCACTACAGAAATACAGGGTGTCCGGAAAGTCTTGGTGCCTTTTTTGGACGTCGTCTAACGCGCGCTGTGATTATTGGACTTTCAACCAATCACCACAGATATGACCCCTCGTTCACCGCTCAGCTAGGGGTCGCATAAATATGACTTTGAAACCGTTTTCAGTGATATGTTTATAGGCGGTGAAGATGCGCCTTGTCGATGAGAGCCCACGCGCGGGCGCGGGGGCCCGGTGCGGCTTGAACGAGGCGCGAGTTGCATCGCGATGCGGCGTTTCCCGGCGAACAGTTGAGCAGGCAAAGGTGCATTCCGGATCGGAAATTTCTTAAAACATATTCTCACTCAGTTACAACCACGGTATGCCAAAGCTGCTGAGATTGAAACAGCATTTCAGCGGCAATCGAAGAAAATCTGGGGTCTGATGGGCACAAATGTTCCATCATCTTCGTCAAGTTCAAACAAATGAATGACAGGCTGGTCCACGAGGGGTTCCTGGACACCAGAATCAAGGTGACTTGCCCTAAGGGTCATTTCGCACTTTAACAGCACGGAGCGCCCTCCAACAACGCCGCTGCCGTCCAAACCAAACTGACAGAGGAGCTCAGCGGACCAGATCACCGTGGTGAAATGAGATTAGGCCACCTTATTCTCCCAGCCTTAACCCGCTCGACTAAGGCATGCTACGCGTTTTGCAAAATAAGCTCTAGGCCACCTCTCATCCCAGCCTGGAGTCGCTGAAGACTCGCATCATGACAGCATGGGAGGACAGGAAATGTCCTGCATCGTCAAAACCCGCAGGCGTTTCCACCCTTGCGTCGAGGCCGTCGTCGGCACAGACGGTGGTTGGAATGAATGGGCACGAAGCATGTGGCTTGGTGTTCCTGGTCATTGCTTTGTTCTATTGTTGAGTAGTATCTATGGACCAGGCATTTATTTTTAAAATGTGGAAAAGCGCCAAGACTTTCCGGACACCCTGTATTCGACTCGGGAAAGACTTGGGAGGGTTTAGTGAGACTATTTAAATGATAAATTTGCTTGACACCTAATGCATATACGAGTACAGAATATGACGTGCCCTGGACAATCGGAAATAATGCTTATTTGTACTACTGATACGGATGAGTTTAATGACACGGCAAATATGACAACAGCCGGTAAATTCCTTCCCACCGAACGATGCATTTCGATGCCTTTATTTTTCAATAAAAACGAGCCAAAGCTACGGCAAAATGTCGTGCCGTCATGCGGTGCGCGATCAACTTTGGTCGTTTCGTCAGAAGAGAGGTGAAAAGGTAAGTTCGATGCCCAGAAACCTACATTTTGCGAATATTCTGACCGTTATGTTGGGATATCACCAGCTGTGTCATGAAAAATTGCATAAAACAAACTAACTAGCGTTATACACATAGCGTCTTACATTATAATCGACATGCATGCATCACGGTTCACATTGCTGAATACGAACTCATCTCTCAAGCAAAAATATGCATCTACTTTTGCAACTACTTAGTAAACCACACCCTACTTATCTCTTATCATGACAACACATTACAAAGGGTCTATGAGCAGCTAATTGCTCCCAACAATATCAAATACGAGTATATTCCAATACCATGCATATAGCGGTTTATGGTCCAATTTATACAACGTCTCATTCGGGTGACTTACCTCAAAGTTTTGTATTTTGAGCTGGTGGAATTTATGTAGTGTGTCCTCCATCTTCGCCACCTTCTCCTCCAGAGCAGGCGTAGAGACGGGAAAGCACGCCCAGAAGTGCCGCAATAGTTCGCCTGCTGACCGGTAGATGGCAGCAAGCTCCGTCTTCACATGATCCGGCAAGTCGGCTGCGAACAAAGATGGCGTTTGGAGAGAAATATTTCGAGAAGCAAATGCCTTGTGGTATCATAAATTCAACAAACCACACTGTAAGCCGACCCCTTCAAAACTCCCCCACCACCAAAGGCGCATCGTTACTCTCACGTGCACCCCGAACCCTTTCGTCCTAAGCTGCCATCGCCCCGTGTCCTTAACCTTACCGGAGGCGTTTCTATCTTTGTGCGACGTCTTCATCAGCGCTCCTCCCGGGGACAGGTCACCCAAGACGCTGACTGCTGTCTGAGGGTCTAACACCTGTCGGAATACACAAGGTCAAACAGTGGAAACAGACAGGTCGCCCAGGACGCTAAGTGCCGTCTGAGGGTCTAACACCTGCCGGAATACACGGTCAGATCACAGTTGGCGTGCTAGGGAACGAACGAGAAAGGACAGCTGCTACAAGGCATCCTAGTGCGGCAGAGCTGATGGTCAGCAGTGGGCTCAATCGAAGGTAGACGGCGGTACTAGTCAGAATACAAGTGGGCACATTAGTATTGTGGAATTGTCTTACTCTAGCCATCATGAAAACTGCATAAATGACTAGCAAGCTCGCGTGAAGTCACTTCCACAAAACGATAGGGAACATCCGAAATGCCCACAATACAACAGTAAGAAAAGAAGTCAGGGTTGTAATCCTATCACGTAATATCCTAACGCACAACTAGCTCAACAATCTCACCCCCGTGGCCTGCTCCGTCCACCTCTTCCGTCCAGTCACAGCGCCTCACCGACCTTATTGGTGAAGGGCCGCCAGTGGAGGACGTTTTCTCTGAGCCGGCGGGCGGCGCTGGCCGAGGGTGGCTCGCTGCCCAGCTGTGCCAGGTCCGGGGTGGGTCCGCTGAGGTACCGCTCCACCTTGGTGAGACTGAGCGGCTGGCCGGCGGACGGTGGCGCCGCCTCGAGGTCCTCGTAGCAGGTGCGCTCCTCCAGACGAGCCTGGCCGAGGGACAGAGACGAGGGAATGAGAGATAGGGTTAGAGATGACAAGAAGAGATCGAAGGGTCAGAGATGGGGATATAAATCGGAAAAGTTACCGAGTCTGGAGACGGACCACGCAGAATGCAAGAAAATATAAATGGATGTCAGACAAGAAGGGTAGAAACAGGTAGAAGTTAGATTAGAGCAAATATTTATGTATGAGAGACGAAAGGGAAGAAACGGAAAAGGACTGATGCACAAGCATAAAAACGGATGTGTCAGACTAACAGAGGGGTCAACAACGAAACCAGAGCTAGATCGCATTTCGTGCAACACAGTGGCAAATGACAACGGGCCGCTGCCTCGCAAATGACTAGCTCTAACGCACAAGAAAGCCTCAACATTCAACCTAACGTTACCGATAGGTAGAGCCACAGATAACAGTAGTACTCATGGCTCAGTGGGTTGACGCCATGGGTCACCGTGACCGGGCTGAGTGAAATCAGGACTATTCCGCTGCATGTGTGAGCTGCATTTCAGAAAGGAAGATTTCGAAGATGATCGGTCATTTCGTACCGGCATGCAGAGACAGCGCCGTCGGCTCAAGAGCGGCGCAGTCCTGTATTGACCAGCGTGGATTACGCGATGCCCCCTGTGCACGAGCGGCCAGCGAAACTAGCCATGGCATCCGCACGCCACTCACACCAGAAGCAGGTTATGAAGGACCAGACCGATGCGTTCTTCACGAATGACAATGTCAGCTATCAGGTGGCAACTACAACTGGTCGAGTGTCCGACAGTTCCTGGAGAATGAGGCGGTACTCCGAAGTCGAACTAAGGGCCTCAGATGGTGGTCACTGGTCACGTTTCAGCCCCGCCGACGCCTCCGCCCGAATGGCACCATCAGCATCACAGGAGTGACAGCAGGATGGTGCTCTTGTCATCCAGGAGCCAGTGGCCGCGGTGGCGAAATCCACTGAAATGGAGGACCTGGATGACAGCGCCAAGGCCTCCCTGACACAGCTCTGGCGCCTCGGCACGCTCGGCCACCAGGCGTAACAAGTACGGTGCCTCCGCCAGCCTGCTGATCTATCTTGGGGCTACGCCGCTGGAGGTACGACTGGAGAAAACGAGGAAGACATCGACCTCGCCGTGAGGATCTGCCATATTTGGAGGCAACTGCCGAAGACGGAAGCTAACAGGAACCAGCTGCTGGCCTGCGATCAACCACGAAGTGACGAAGATAGTCGTAAACCGGGATGTCGAACCGACCGGAAGTCGTTTGCAATGATAGCCACGACGTCCTTAGGAGCCTCCTTCCAGAGATGTATGCGACGGTTTTCAATCTATTTGCTGGAAAGTGTGGAAACATGGTAACTGATAAGTGAGGCAGACACTCAAGACAGTGCTGTCCATCGAAAGTCAGGAAGCAGACACCCCAGCGGCAATCGGGTTGCACCCCGATCGAGGAGCGACAAGAGGCCAAAGCTCAGCAGGGTCAAGAAGATGTAAGGCGGGGAAGAAAGGTCGCTGATGAAATTGGGAGGGCAGGCGAAGCGAAGTGACACTTGAAGGGGTGTTTTGTGACGTTGGTTTGAATTGTGACGTTTGGATGGTTCGTTGTGACAGGACTGGTGTCGATTAGCATGTAAATAAAGAGATCAAATTCCCATGTACAAGTACTTTTTGTGGATGAGAGTGGGAAATCATTATAATCAAATCAGTGGCATACGTTCCCTCACCACGGTGAGGAAAGTGTAACCAGCATTAGGTACGTTTAGTAAAATAAGTTGCCATTATGCAAAAATTCAGCAATAAACACGAGCACGGCTAGATTGCTTCTTTATAAGTTTAATTCACATGAACCAATTTTTTTTTGCCTGTGGGAGAAGATATCGAAGTCTGGGCACGAAATATTCGGTTCTGTTTTCGGCCTCTTACTGCAGCCACCGGAATCCTGTTTCCAATCCAGTACTACTGTTATCTGTGGTAGAGCTCACCCTCTTGGCGGCGGGGTCCCTCTCGGCCGGCGGTGCCGCTGAGCTGGCCTCTCCGTTCGACTGGCCGTTCTGCTGGGGTTTGGCCGGAGTCGCTGCCGCCGCCGCCGCACCCTCTGGGGTCAAACTCGCCTTCAGAACGTTTATTGAGTGCTGGTTAAACCTGTCGGCAGGGGGGAATGAACAGCTGGTCAAATATGAGAGATTATGAAATGGATAACAATACCCGATCAGTGACCAGCGAATAAGCAATAGACTTTCACACCAAGGAGAAGTTATCTAGCACCCGACAGTCTTTCTCCCGATATCCACCCGGCCGCTGCTGTGGAGTCTCCTCGCGAAACGAAACGTCCTGCACTCCCGCCCTTTCTGTCTCATCATGCGAAAGAGAAGACACCTGCCAAAAATCAAACGACACCAGACCACTATGCTCACAGCCTGATAATGCTAACGACAAGACCGCTACTCCAGCTTCGCCAAGTACAAGGTCGCATCATGTCAGGGTCGCTTCCCTCCGCTCCCAGCCCGCTCACCATCTTATCACACTACCGGCAAGATCACTACTCTCAGCTACCGCTTCCGCTCACCGTCTGATCATGCTGACGGTGGCCGTGTTGGTCTGGCCGACTCCGACCGCGCTGCTGTCGCTGCCGTAGCCATCACCGACCGTCGAGTCGGTCATCCTCCGCAGGTCCAGCATCGGGTCGTCCAGCTCCTCCTGGAGCTCCTGCTGGATTACTGCCGCGTAGAAATGAGGCGGGATGGGGAGGTAGGTCAGTGACAGAATGTGGTAAAGTGTATGAAGAAGAATAATCAATCAGCGTTTAGAAAAACGGCCCAGAGTGCCGTAGAGCGGCGTTACAGCCTTAGCCTTTAGCTCAAATTAATTCAAGTTGCGTTCTTAGGAGAAGAAAAAAATTAAATATTGAATCCAACGATTACTGGACAACTGGGAAAAACCCAATATCCGCTCACCCGAGCCATCACAGTGTTCCGTTCATACTTTTCTCTCCCACCGCGGTTACCTTTCTCATCCTGTCGGGCACAGTCGGTAAACAGGTCCTTGCTGCTCAAATTGATCCGATCCCTATGGAAATAGTGTGACTGGAAGAAGCGCGTCCAAAACTCGGACTCCGACATTCGGCCCGGCACGTACTCGAAGAACTTCCGCCGTACCGCCGGGTACGTCTTGTAGATGGAGTTGATGGTGTCTACGTTCAAATTGTACTTCAGCCCGTTACAGCCGTCCGTTTGTGGTTTTATGTCGGCCTGTTGGAATACAAACAGTTAGAGGCTGTGGTTCGTCCGGGCTGATACGGTGCTGGGAAGGGAAAGACGGAATAAGTATCGGACGAAGAGCGACAACGAATTTGCTTACACCGTGCTTCTTTTACAAAAATAATGCACTAATAATAACATGGTGCGTAGTTGACATATTACGGACGAACCTACACGTTCGTAAGAGTAATGACTAAGGATATGTAAACCGTGGTCACGGCACGGCATTACGAAGCACAGGGTCAAGGCCGGGCAACGAAACTTCCACGAACATTAAGCTCCATCATCTAAGCCACGATCATTCGCACGCTAACAACGCTCCATCTGCAGCCCATTTGGGTCAGATGTCGCACTGATTCTGCCACTCCCCGTCCACCAAACACGTCACGTTTGAGCGACCCAAGGTCGTTATCGAAGTCCCGGGTACGGTTCTACTGCCACCTGACCCGTAAACACACGGGCCGCGGACCGACCACCGGGCGGGGAAATACGCAGTAGCGACGGGAGTGAGGGAGGTGTTGAAAAGGCATAGTACCGCCCCACGCTCTTAGAATTACTAGCCAACGGCTCATGGGTGGGGTGTCATAAACAGAAATGTTACGGCGCCATTTAGACCCAATTACCGGTAGTTCAGCAAATGTTCTGCAGAAATACAAAGACTAAAACTGCAAAACCATGTGAAGTCATATAACCCAATCACATTGAAAGTAGTCGACTTTAGGAAAAAAGATAGTAATAATCCGAGAAGAGTCGCGGCACTGACCAGAAACGCGCCCGACACTCCGACGTCCTGTTTGACATTGGTCTTGTTGAGAAACTCTGAGGCGTGCTGGGCCCAGAATTCGTCAGCTGTGGCGATACGAGTGATAACCAGATCCTGGTACAGCTGCAGTAGCGATGGATTCTCCCGCAACAGCCTGAGAGAACACACGGACCGGTCATTTGACGGAGGGCAACAGAGTAGCATGTCTTTTGATGAATTCTATAAGTAAATTACATTTCCGTGCAATTTACTGTGTGTCAATAGTAGATTTAAATCAGCAGTCTTCATCATCAAGCAAGCAAGATGCATTTTTTCCAATCGCAAGTGACATCCCAGGGCCAGCCTGAAAATGCATTAGAATGCCCCTCGCAAACACCTTGCCTCACGTCCCCAGCATTACTCAGTGTCATCAAGTCATGTCCTTCCGACCTCCACTTCTGCTCTCACCAACCTTTCCTTCTCCTCCAGTTCCTTGTTGACCTTGCGTTTGAACTTGGGTAGCAGCGTCTGCAGCAGCTCCTTGACCTTGTCGCGGTCGGCGCGCTGGGCTGGCTCCCCGTCGGGAGAGTTGAAGTGGAACGTGGAGGCGCCGCCATCGTGTAGCACCACCTGCAGCTGGATCTTGGCCTTGCCGTCCGGACTGATTTTCTGCACTGTGGTGGAACCGTGAGGGAGATCATAAAGGGTACGTCGGCACAGAAACGGGCAACAAGGTGGTTGGAAGTACAAGAGCAAGATACGTGAGGAATAAAGAGAGTCAGTGTCTTGATTGACAGGAAGTACAGAGCAAGGCGCCATAGCTGAGTCATGAAAATTGAAAAGTATTTCTAGCGGTTGACATCGCATGACAATGAAACCTTTGTGAGAGGGTGCACTATAAATGTAAAAAAACGACGTAAAACCGATAAACAAAACGACATGACGACACATCACGCAGTTGTCGAACTTACTTTTGATATCGGCATATTTATAGCTGACTGAGAACGTGTCTTTGGAGCCCATCAGCCATCCGATGCGTTCGCTCATCAGGAAAAGCGTGCCGTCACTCTTCTTGTGACGCACATTGTTCACTTGCAACAGAATGTCCTCTGTTGTCGTCATTGTGTGTCCTGGTAATGTTCAACACCTGAAGGCAAGGGAGGAGATCAGGGAGACAGGAATGGCATAGACGGAGACGGAGGCAGAGATGGAGACTCAGCAGTTTTTAGGGATAAGGGGTCTAGGGGGGGGGAGGGAGAGGGAGAGAGAGAGAGAGAGAGAGAGAGAGAGAGAGAGAGAGAGAGAGAGAGAGAGAGAGAGAGAGAGAGAGAGAGAGAGAGAGAGAGAGAGAGAGAGAGAGAGAGAGAGAGAGAGAGAGAGAGAGAGAGAGAGAGAGAGAGAGAGAGAGAGAGAGAGAGAGAGAGAGAGAGAGAGAGAGAGAGAGAGAGAGAGAGAGAGAGAGAGAGAGAGAGAGAGAGAGAGAGAGAGAGAGAGAGAGAGAGAGAGAGAGAGAGAGAGAGAGAGAGAGAGAGGAGAGAGAGAGAGAGAGAGAGAGAGAGAGAGAGAGAGAGAGAGAGAGAGAGAGAGAGAGAGAGAGAGAGAGAGAGAGAGAGAGAGAGAGAGAGAGAGAGAGAGAGAGAGAGAGAGAGAGAGAGGAGAGAGAGAGAGAGAGAGAGAGAGAGAGAGAGAGAGAGAGAGAGAGGAGAGAGAGAGAGAGAGAGAGAGAGAGAGAGAGAGAGAGGAGAGAGAGAGAGAGAGAGAGAGAGAGAGAGAGAGAGAGAGAGAGAGAGAGAGAGAGAGAGAGAGAGAGAGAGAGAGAGAGAGAGAGAGAGAGAGAGAGAGAGAGAGAGAGAGAGAGAGAGAGAGAGAGAGAGACCAAACTTTGCAATCTGGCCTAGTCTGGGACTAACAGTCTGAACAGAATGCTTGTTTAAATTGAGTTTTTGTAGATATCATACAACATAGATAAGCTGTGATGCATATCTGACACTTGACTTATTCAGCTGCATCATCATCAAAGCAAAAAAGTGAACATCATCAACCGTCTATCCCTCAAAACTGCTAAGCTGCAATTCACACCAGTGGCCAGACTGGAAAACACCCTTACACTACCCTGGATGCCCGTGAGGCCCTAATAGTTTGTAATTTAGAGCAAGTCATTTTGAGTTGAAATATCAGTATGATTTGTGCCAAAAGTTGGATGTTTATTTGTGCCAAAACTAAGCAACTTTTACATAAAGCACATGTGCACACCTCCCGACCAATGCTATACTAACCAGACAAATCATTCCCCATAGCCCATGGTAGGTTTCGGGGCACAAAAATAAGCAGTGATGTGTTGGGATGTCTTGAATTTCTACAGCTTCACCATCTAGGGCATTACCATGACCATGACCATCTCCACTGCACCACCAACATTCAACTATCTGCAGTATCGGCTCAAATCCACTGCTGGTAGACAGACATGGACAAATCCCCACTGCCAGAGCCAGCCGAACGTCTGACTGCCAGCAGCAGATTCACAGATGCTAGATGCTAGATGGTGCTAGATTACAGCTAATATGATCTTGGCTAGATTGACCAATGTGCTTGGAAAAATTAGGTGGCTGCCATGCACTGAAAAAATTGGTGACTACTGTGCTTCAAAATTTTCAGCACATTTCGTTTTTCTCACAGACAATGACAATACAAAAAACGAAATGTCTGACCTTTCAGCACATTCCTGCTACCACACTGGACATATTTGGCATAGCAGGTTTTTCCAGTCCAGTCCAGTGAGTCTAGAATACACATGGAACGGAAATCCAGGTAAAAATATTGTGTGCAAGGACATTAAAAAATCTCTTGAAAATGTTGTTACACATATGTATGAAAAAAACAAGTTATATCGAGATATATAGGTTACTAATAACCTAATACCATCGCCATCAAGAAACTGGTTCAAACGGATTTCAGATGTCAAACTGAAATCAAAATGTGGGCATCCTCCTGATTCAACAATTATCGGTCATCGAATACAGTCGAACTATGCTCTAACACACGGATGTATCCAGAATCGCTGGCTTATGTAAAAATTGACAAATAAAATCCAGTACCACACCACCCCACCAACCGGAAGAGCTCGGGGAATGCCGGATCACTTCCGGCTCCTTTGCCTCAAGCAATGAAATTCTTCATAATCCATCACCTTGCTCAGCTCCCGCAACATCGCGGCGCTGCAATTGTCTTTGATGCGCAGTTAATGCCTAGTTTTGTGATAGATGTCCCGATAATTATAACAAAATCATTAGTATTATGTATTCTATTCCCTGAAATATATTCAAAAAAAGAAATTGATATATGAAATAAAAAGAAATCAAAATATTCGTTGTTTTTATTCCAATCAGCTGATCATGTCTCTTGGAGCGTGCTGCCATCTGGAGTAAATAGGTCAAAACCTCAAAACAAACGGAACTGGACCTGGAGATTCGCATTTGAGCTTGGAGTCTGAGTGGGTTTGCGTTGTGCTGTCCTGCCATTTTTTTTTCCTTGTAGCATAGCTAGTGTTTCTGTTCAGTAGTTTAAGTAATTAGAGGAAGGCACATCTTTTCTGTGGCTCAGATCGAAACCACCTGACCAACTCTGACTCAGTGCTAGGTAAGCTTGCAATTCTTTTTGTCAAATTCTGTGCTCCTAAAAGTCAGGGTTCAGGACCCATGGGCTCTTGATTTCATTGGCTTTATATCATGTACTGCCTGTATTTCCTGGTAATGTATCGTATGTCATTCAATCTTGTTTTATTCTGAAGTTTCAGATGTGGTTTTTGGATTCAGATCAGTAGGCGGAACTATGGTCAAGCGTACCCATTTTCGGGAACGCATTTTCGTTCCCATGTTTGGGAACGATAAACCCAAATATGGGAACGCCATGTAGGCAATATTTAAAACAAGAAAAAGAACCGTTAAATGACGTCCAAAAAATAGAAAACGATCGTGAACCGCCTGATATTTGTCGCAATATTGTTGGGAAAGAGTTTGATATTGAAAGGCCCATCGTAGTTTCAAATCGTTCCCCTATTTCTAAAGCAGTCCATCATCCGGGCCGCGAGCCCAAATTTGGGAACGCTCTCGTACACTGGCGCTGCAAGCGTTCCTTATTATGGGAACGGCGTACCCATAATTGGGAACGATTTCACCGACGCCTTTCAGGGGCTCTTTTCATTAACAAGCATCACATCCAACGCCGCAAATTATTGTTAACGCAACAATCATCAGATGACCTTTCCGGCAAGACCGTCGCATGTTTCGCCCGGTCTTCTGCGCTTTTATTCCCGTCGATCTCGCAGCGGGCACGCCCCCCTCTGCAGGATTACGTAATGCACAACGCTCAGCGATGTTCAACAAGGTCTTCCATACCTATATCCACCGTCCGTGCCGAGGGTGGAGACATGTCAAGCACCTGTCTGTTTATCACCGATAGTTGACGAGTACAAGGAAGTATCCAAAAATGGGAACGCTGAATATGTTACACCCTCAAAACACCTAGTCCCAATGAAAATCTAGTTTTTCCTTTCTTAATGAGTGTAAGTGGCAAAAGGCCTGGTAGGATGGGCACGAGGAATGATTGAAATCAGCATAGAAATTATAAATAAGCCACACAGCGACCTATATAAGAGAAATTCCCCCAAAACGATCATGCTTAGAAACACGGAAGACAAAAACCACGCTCATGACGCTCCTTATAAAACAACGCTAAACAGCTAGCATCCAAATAAAATATGTCTTTCCGGGCTGGTAAAATACAGCTGAATAATTTTCGACCACTTAAACTGAGTTTACAACAGTAGTTCGGTAAAATCACGCACGTTCTACGCGGTCGTCCGCCTCGACACCAAATGTCAACAATATTACCTCGGGACTGTCCGCGTGTTCACTTGCATCTATCAGCATCTGGTGTCGCTAGGATGAAACTTCATAACCAGGCGAAAATTATTATACTTGACCTCAAAATGTAAAAAACGCTTCATTTTCCTTAAAATTGCATGTTAAATGTAGTGTAACCCATGTTTTCACCATTCCGTCATTTCAAAAAATCATTAAAAATATCATTCGACGGTCAATTTCCTTGTTCAACGGTCAGATTAAAGATAATTTTATAGAGACTTAGTAGATACTTAAATTAGCGTGCACTTTTTTGAGACGTGATGCACTAATGAGTTTTAGTGGGCGAACGGCCGAAAAATTACCTTCCGTTCTCATAAATGGGAACGCCCGTTCCCATATTTGGGAACTCCGTTCCCAAAAATGGGAACGTTCCTATATTTGGGTACTCATGACCATAGTTCCACCTACTGAGATTGAGATTCAAATTACCTACTTGCTCTCATGATTGAGACTTGGGTACTGGTACTGGCTTAGATCTGGATCCTATGATATAATCTAATTTGCTTTTTTGAAATTTTAACTCACTAAATGCTGAATGCACACTCACAACTCTGATTGCAGCACAGCACCCAGTTATCTGGCAAGATGCGAGAACCAGTTCGCGCTGCACCTCCACCGCCTGGTGGTCGCCCTGCCACCATCATCCGTGCCAGCGCTTCAGAACCCAGCATAAAGTAAGTGTCTGCGGGGTCTGGTATTCTGTGAACTGTGATCTGTGTGATATAGGCCTGTGGTGTTTGAAGAGGGTGCTCCAATTTATGTCACTGTGACTTGTGATTGATGACATGGGCTGGTCAGGCTCAGGGCAAGTTTAACATTGTGTTGAGGCACTGTGACAGCTCCATGGAATTGAAACCTGAACACATTGAACCAACTGTCCGAATGGACTACCACTGAGGCGACAACTTGGCCAGAGAGGAGATTTTTCTGAACTTGTACTCACTATTTCATATTCTTGAAACAAGTCCTAGCCCCAAGTTTCATGTGCTTTTGTTATACTATCATAAGTCAAGTGTGCTCCCAGGACAGCACAAATGGTGTTTCCACGAATTTTGTTCATATGTGCAATGTACGTGTGTTTGCATTTCCATAATTTCTGGCATAACAATACTTTGCATGAAAATCGTGCAGAATATGTAGCTGCTTTTCTTCAGCTTCCAACACATTACGTAGCTTCATCCTACGGTCATGCTTTGCGATTACTTTTTCCATCTTTTCCGTCCGTTTTTCGGTCCGAAGGGTGAGGTGACGCTGCCGTGCAGTGTCCTATGACTGCGCTGGTGTTGGTCGGATAAACACACTCCTGGCCTTGACAGTTACATAAGTCAGATACTGTCACCCCCGGTCTGAGCGCAGATAGCGGCGGCCGGACCGTTTATTTGTCCCTCTCGGAGGTGATTGGTTTGCGTGTCGTTGATAGTTGAGTTAGAAAGATGTGCCAGCTCTTTGAGTCTGTTTACGTTTCATTTGAGACTGGCTGCGAAGGTGGCCGAAAAAGTACAGTACAGACTACCAGCTTGGGGCTTCCAGCCATGAAAAAGTGATTGTTGGTGGGTGCCCCGAGTTCGTTCGCCAGACTGTTGAGTCTTGTATTGGGTGATTTGGCTCCCACTGATGCAGTGAGCTACTTTGATGACATTTTGGTTTTCTATGGCGATTTTGACACGCATCTTTCACGTCTTGAGAAGATGTTCCGTCGTCTGTCGGCTGCGAATTTGACTCTCAACCTCTCAAAGTGCAAATTCTTTCAATCAGAGATCACTTACCTGGGTCACGTGGTGTCGTCTGATGGGGTCAGTCCCGATCCAGGAAAGGTAGACAAAGTGAAGGATTGGCCGGTGCCTATGAATGAGAAGGCATTGTCACAGTTCTTGGGATTGGCAACGTACTTTAAACGGTACATCAAAGATTTTGCTGCTATCGCGGCTCCGCTGCATCACCTCACCAGGAAAGACGTAGACTTCCATTGGGATGCGGAGGCTCAGATGGCTTTTGACTCGCTAAAGGCGGCGCTGTGCACGGCTCCGGTTCTGAAATACCCTGACTTTTCCCCGGGAGCGAGCGAATTCGTACTAGACGTGGATTGTTCAGGGTCAAAGATGGGCGCGGTTCTGCTGCAGAGGGATGGACAGGGTGAGCGGGCAGTGGCATTTGACAGTAAAACTCACCTGTTACTCACCTGTTAGGTTTCCACAACCTCGGCTCGTAAAGGAAGGAGTGGAAACCTATTGCGTGCAGAGACGCGCCAATTCCTTGGGTGGGCAGATGGCTGGACCTCAGGCAAGGAATTGGAATGGTGCGTCTGCATTTGGTAAAACACTGAAAAAAGAAAACTGGTGCGTGTTTTAAGTGCCAGAATCCTAGACAAGATGATCAATTATGTAAGTGAGAAAAGAGGGTACCGAAATGTGATACGTTCTCGGAAGGAAAGGTCAGGATAGGTAGCCTAGGTTAGTCCACCCGGTCCAGCTCGAGAAGGGCGGGCAGCAGCTACCTAGGGGGTAAGGGCGGAATATGATAGGTAGCCCAGGCGCGTATAACCCCGCCCCAACTTGGGAAGGGTGGGGCGCTTACCTGGGGGGGGGGGGGGATGAAGGATGAGATGTGAATCGTTTGCCTTCTCTTATCCTGTGTGTTCGAACAATCTACTTCCCAGTGCGGCTTTCAGTCCCTTTTTAAACTGCACCAGGGAC